CAGTTTCTCTGAAACACCCGCAACATACGGAATAACCACTGGTCTGGGTTTGGGGTCTTCATTTTCACCTGAAGGTTGCATGGAGTCCTGTCTGTGTTTCCTGTCTGCTTTCAGGAAAGCCCAGTCAGGATAACCATTGTATATACCATTACCTATACCATTGATTTTTTTTTACCTGGATTACTGAGATGCATCAGGACATTTGTGGTTTGAAAACAACAAAGGCTAAAATTCTGTTAGCTTAGGTGKCCAWCTTTAATTGAGCTGCACAATATTTTTTGAGCATCATCATCATTACAATGTGTATGAGCAATAGTCTCATTATACTTACCATGGTGTAGGTTGGCAAATTAAATCAGTGTGATTTCAGGACTAAACCCAAAGTCATTGCACTAACTGGTCGTGAATTAAGGCTTTTATTTTGACGGGTTGCTTCATGTCAAAAAAGCTCACACTTTCATTTTGTTGTGAAACTTCTGGGACAATAGTGATGTTTTTATGAGAAGCGTTGGTAAATTTTCCAGCTGTGGAGGAAGACGATGAGGATCTTGATGAAAAGGAGGAAGATGAGCAAATTCACACAGAACTGAAGGAAAAGATGCAAAATACGGTTAGCATGAATGCTCATTTTAAAGCATGATGGAAACATATACTGAGATAGACAGAAGCAACATGTTAGGTGGTAAAACAGTTCTTGTTTGCTCGTGATACAAGGAAAGAATGAAGGCCAGATTTTCATGGGGGTTCTATCTTACAGCACCCCCGAATTGTGAAAAAACACAAATATAGGATACGGTCCAGAAAAGGCCTACAGTTTGTTTTAGGTGGCATCGTAATGTGGTAGGTACCAAACAGAAACACGCGTGAGGTAAACAGAAAGCTGAAATGTTGCACTTTGGGTGGAGCGTAGGGACAGGGCGTGAATCACGTACTGGCTTGTTGTATTTTATTATAAGGAACTGAATTGATGTAATTTTTATGTAAAAAAAAAGATTATATTTTCTAATATTTTAGCTTGAAAACCCATGAAAAAGCACAAGAGAGAAAAAATGCCTTTCCTTGCAGTGTATTCTCAGTTTCCGCAAAATTAGTGATTACCGCAAACAACTAGTAGTTAGGTTCTGTGAAAAAATCCCCAAACAATGAAACACAACTTTGCGGGGCTTCACTGTACTTCAGTCAGCACAAAAGCAAACAATGAAAGATTAGAAGAATTACTCTCAAATACAAACAAAAAAAAACTGCATCATGAACAAAAAAGAAGTACTGTCGGTGTTAGTTCATCGTCAACAAGATGGCAGCAGAACTAAGGCTGTGTCCAAAACGACAGGCCGGGTCCTCCGGAGGACACAGACTCCCCGGTCTCGGYGGGCCGGGTCCTTGGTAGACCGGGAAGACCGGAAAAAAAGAGGCTGTGAATTTGGACGGTCTAGCCTTCCCCTCCTTACCCCGGCGTACGTCTTGTCACCTAGCAACTGTGACGACGCTAAACAAGCAAACTTAAATCAAAACTAGAAAAATATCAATATATTAGCATTATTAATATCACAAAACTATAAAATTAACTTAAAAGTATCATTTGAAGAACTAATTGACCCGCTGTAGGTTCATGTTTATTTTCTAGTTTTTATGACGAAAAAATAATATTTAAAAACATGTCCATACAAATGATAAAAGTATTAGAATTACAACCGCTAATTTTTTAAAATTTTTATATCACCATATTTTTATTTAAAATGTATTCTTTTCTCTTACTTCGTCCGCCATTACTAGCAAAAAAAATCTCCGGTCGGGCCACAATGCATTATGGGATATGCTGGGCCGGGAAGGATCCATCGGACCTGTCCTTCGATTCGGGCCAAAGGAAGGACGTATTTGTCGGCTGCATCGGAGGAGTCTTCGGTTTTGGACGTCCTTCGTCGCGGCRCTGTGACGTATGCGGCCGACAAATTCGACCTTCGGAGGACCCGTCCTGCCGTTTTGGACACAGCCTAAGTGTTCTTCAAGTCAGCTGTTTTTCCATATCACTGGATAAATCGCAGGGTTTGAAAAAAAAGATGTAAATCTTTTCCAATATCATGAAGCCTGTAGTTGAGTCCAAAAGTTTATCAGTTGTAGATCTCATTGTTTCATTAAAATACATCARTTAGTTCATAAAACATTTTTGCTAACAGGCAGAGTCGATCCAATTTAGTTGAAGGTATTATCTGTTCAGGCAGCTTCTTCCAGACCAAACGTTAGGTCAGTTTGACATCTGTTATAATTGATGTGTTTTAAAGTGGATTCAGTTTGTTCTGGTCCAGAAACATGATGTTATTTAGTGTTTGTTCTTCATTCTGTTGGGTTATGAGATTTTCATAGAATCATTGAAGTATTAATCTCACCTTCTAAATAAGCTTTGCTGAATGTCAGTTTTTTTGTTTTGTTTTTTTCAACTTCTTGTTCAGATCACATGTTGAGGTGCTGAGTAATCACTGTGCAGTAATCACACCCGGGTACAGGATGTTCAGTCTCAAACCACAGCTCCACTTGTCCACACCAGAGTCTGACATTTGCACACAAAGACTCTGATGTGTCATTGTTGCTTGTTCCCTTCTTGTTTCCTGATGCTTTGTCTTTGTTTTATGGAAGAAGTTGTTCTTTTTTTTTTTTTTTTTTTACAGGAAATTGCCCGACATCTCCGTCCAAACACCCTGCGAGCTCTTTACGGCAAAGACAAAGTGAGAAACGCCGTCCACTGCACAGACCTCCCTGAAGACGGTGTCCTGGAGGTTGGTCTCACACACACACTGTACCCTACAGATAAGTTTCCTCTTTGTCTCACGCCCACTGCCCCGTTGCTCAAACAAGCACCTTGCAGTCAGCCGAGAACAAAGCCCCCTGGACTCTGTGGAGCGGCGTCTTTAGACGAGTCTCATGACTGCGCTCTGTGGGCCGGGGCAACCTTAGATCGCGCTGGCGTGAGGAGGAACTTTGAAACAAAACCATTGTTTCAGCGGGCAAGTGGGTCTGACCCGTCCAACGTCATTGTTCAGAACTCCTGATCTGTACCGGAGACAAACGCTTCCTTGTTAAACGTTAGCCTGAGCTGCCGTGTTCCCAAGACTGGAACACGGTCAGCAAGAAGGGCCGTGTGCAGAGCTGACTGTGATGTTTTACTGACCCCAGCAGCAGTGTTCTGCTCTTCTTTTATCTCCTGTTCAGAGCTTTGTTTGAAGGCGCTTTACAAATAAAGTTATTATTATTATTATTATTATTATGATGATTATTACTACACACTGTCATTAAAGTGCATGTGGCATCATATTTGTGTAAAGGGCTCGAAACAATGGAGGCGACGTCGCTCGCTCTCCATTCATTTCCTATRGAGCCTGTGCAGTGAGGCGACAATCTCTTGCCCTCCTCCAGCTAAGCAACCGGCAAAAATAGGGCATGTGAAATTTCACGCTCGTACACGTAGACATGCACACGCGAGCTTGCGACGCGACATATGTAAGTTGAAAGATATTCAACTTTTGTAGCTGTCGCTTAGCGTACAACCAATCAGCGAGGGATTCATTGACTGACCAATGAGAGGAGAGTATGCTACACACTGCMGTTAGCTAACACTTTCACCAAGTGATTACTAAAAAGCWTTGTGGGAATTTATTGRCACCAGGGTGAMGTTTATGGTAAGTTTTTCCTCATAAAACTGTATCTTGATGTGTGTTTGTTTTTCAATATCATTAGCATCGCAAGATTTGTTTAGTTTACACGTCCGTAACGCAGACCCGCCTTCAGAGTCAAGAACCAATCAAATTTCGTGAAGACGAGCGACCTCAGAGCGTGATTTGCAACGCTGCGATCGCTATCGCGTCCCGTGTGTCGGGTTTCACCCTGGCTGCGATGACAGCCGTTAAYCGCTGTAGTTTGTCGCTGCCCGTGTGTCGAGCCCTTAATAAACATGAATGCATTTTTGGATAGATAACATAGTGCAAAACAAATTCCACAACGCTCAGATGAACAGTTGTTGAGATATTTGCATGTGAAGAAACAGGAAGTGATGTCAAAGGGGAATGTCTGCATGTAAACAGAGCGTTGTTACAACAGCTAACAACACAGACTGTAGAGAAGAATCTGATGTTTCTTTAAATTATTTTATTCGCTATCAAAGAGAGACAAAGAAGAAGATTAAATAATTTTGTTCTAATAAACCGAGACCAGCAAGTTAATTTTATTAATGAGTTCCCCWTTGATGTCACTTCCTGTTTCACTTTGGCTGAGCCAAATTTAAAAGAAAATATGCCAGTTATGTGACAAAATGGGTAAAATCATGTGTTCTATGCCAATTTTCTTAAGTATAAAGAGGTTTTCTGACTTTTTGTATTTGAAGGATAGACACRTCACAGGCACTTTAATTTCCTTTAAACTCCTTTTCCAGGTGCAGTATTTCTTCAAGATCCTGGATGGATGAAAGCAAAYGGATCGTGGTTTAGGTTAAACTCAAAGACTTGACGTGTCTCAGTTTTCTGTTTATTGTTTCAACCTTATGCAGATTAAATAAAGTGACAAGAGCGGACTCCTGACAAGTGTTTGATCTCCAACATTGAATTAAGTATTTTCACACCAACTAAACATCTGAATACATGGGATACTGCATTGCCTCAAATATTCTTGAACGTTTTGACCAGCGACTTTGGTATTCAATTTATATACATGACACTTAAAAAAAATGTACAACTGCATAAATACAAAACTCTTCCATGGTGAAAATGGCTAAAACATTCAACAGTAAGTTGCATCATGTATCATGATGACTCCAGCAAAACAGATTTTGAAGCACTGAGTTGCCACTGTTTCCATCTTAGGCTGGACCCACAAAGCTTCACACTATGAGTTAAGAAGAGTGAACAAAGGTATCAAAGAGAAATGATCGAACTACCGAACAGCAATAAACAAAATGGTACAAATGTAAAAGTAATGCAGAAACAGAAACAAACCCTAAGCTGATGGTGAAGTGCGGCCTTTTACTCTTATAGGTTCAGAGTACCATGCTAGTATTTGAGTTCACCGGAGCACATCGACAAACACGCCGTGCTCACATCAACTAACATGCCTGCACAGACACGAGCGCGCACACACACACACACCTTGGACCACAGAAGCTGATCTAAGACAAAAAAAAAAAAAAAGATTACAACAGGGCTAGACTACAGCTCAGGACACTCCAAAAATATATAGAAACCACACAAGGATGGAACACCAGGGGACAGGAACACGACTCGCTACGTACGCTTCAGTAGTGGAACTGCAGTTTTACAGTAATAGATGAACATCCCATGGCTCCTGGAATAGTTTCATTTTCAGTAGAATAAATATTTTGCTATTGCTACTCTTACATTCTAACTTTGGACAAAAAAAGCTAATGTAAAGCACACGGATTTAAGTGTAGGTCCTGTCTACAATGAATTTTAAAGACTAGTGGTGTTTTATCAGAACTCGTGAATTTGCTCTACGTTTGTTTTCAGACTGAGGGTGAGGGCCGTGGCCGAGGTCACGAATTCACCGTGAACTTCACGTCAAAGCGTCCTTGATAGCGGTCCTTTTCGCTGAACTTGATGTTTTCTCCGTACGCTTTGCACTCGATGCGCAGCTCCTCGTCAAAGGTCAGGTTGGTGAAGTGGATGGCCACCAGGGGCTGCAGGTACTGGGGGTGCACCCGCTTGCCGTAGTACGGGTAGTACTGCAGGGGAAAGCCTTCCCCGACGCCGTAGTACTTGATCTCTCCAATCTTGTCGGCGTCTTCCTCCCTCTGCAAACACGAAAGGAAGACACAAACTTTGCAGCGATGACAAAACCTTCCATCATGAGCAGGTGCTGTTGCATCTAATGTACCTTATTTTTGCAGTGAATGGGGATCAGGTTGTTGGATGGTATGGACTTCAGATCATCTGGGAGCGTTTCATTGGAGGGACTCTGAAAACAAAGACATCCTTGRTCAAACAATAGGAATTTAGAAAAAATACAAACTGATACAGCAGAACCAGAGAAATCTCCTACTTCAACACACTCTGCAAACTTCTTTTAACATGGCACCCACATTTCCCACAATGCACCTTCTGGAGGTTCAGTCAAGACTTTAGGTGTTCTGTTAACACTTTCTCACACCCAACTCCTCACTTATTGACACTTTTCCAAGGTTCCCTCTGCATCTTATTTTGACGTGTTGGGTAACACCTTCAGGTCAGTTATTGACGCACCGGGCATTTCCGGGTTCCCTCCACGTCTGGTTTTGATGCGTCGGGACACAAAATATAGGGATCTTTGAGTTGGGGTCTGTGGTTAACATTAGGGATCAGGGTTCATGGTTAATTTTAGGTAGTGGGGTCAGGGATAGGATGTCTGGGGCCAATATTATGTAATTTTAGGGTTTGGGACACACAGTTGACATGAATTTCCTACACTTTCTAAAAATGGTTAATTTTAGGTACTAGGGTCAGGGACAGGATGTCTGGAGTGAATAAAGGTAATTTTAGGCTTTGGGACGGTTAGATTTGTGCATTTTCTACACTTTCTGAAATTATGACAACGGATTCCGCCCCATCTCGTCAATAACTGCCGTTAGTGTCGTGTGATGATGCACACATGTGAGCCCATAACATAAACATATTTGAACATAGATTGCCAACGTTGCCCAACCTTAGTCTGCTGACTAACTCAACTCACTTCATTCCTTCTGAAATAAATCATTTATTTAAACTATAAAACAATCATTTGTGTTCATGTGTTTACCTTCTGCAGCCCCCGAAACATTTAAAAATAGTTTTTCACATAAACTGGATGTGAAACATGTAGTTTATAACCGCAGTTAACTCCTCTGAGTCAGACACATTCTGTCCTTTCAGACCCCAGGAGCCCACCTTACAGTCCTTATAACTTGTTGTACTTCTATCCTGCCAGTGCTGTTTCCATTTATTGGGTCTGTTTTAGCTCCTGCTCCAGACTGAGCTCTTTCCTGGCTCAACAGAGACTCTTCAGTGACGTAAAAGGACGTGACTGGTCTTTTTGACAAATGTTCAAACTATTAAACACTCTTCTGACCTCCGCGCTGATAACACTGTATTCACATGGCTGAAGGAGAAGCTAACTGCAGCCGTCTGTAGACGTGTGCAGCACCAAGCAGAGCTCATTCAAACTTCACTTTCAAAGTTAAATCCACTGAGCTCTGCTGTGCCTCCTTTGATGAATGCCATGTGAACAAAGTGACACGCTGTTGGCCAATCACAGTGTTCCCTGGTGGTCTTTATAACTCCACCACTAACGGTCCTTATAATCCTCAGAGCTTCTTTAGAACAGTTTGTTCTGAAAACAGCTAGTTAGTTGTGACTTTCCCTGGAACATGTAAGATTCGTTTCTATATTTATTTTTGAATGGAAAAGGCTCACATTCTGTAACGTGATGGCTGAGTTTAGTTTAAAACATCTTGTATTGTCAGTTTTACACAAAGCTTGTAGCCAAAATCAGCTGYGCTTTACTTTAGAAACAGGCCTTTCTAGTTAACAGACTGCAGACATGTTCACAGTGATGTCGACAGTTTAATATCTGGACATGAGAAAAGTTAGTTTGATGATTTCTACATGAAAGAACAACTAGTTTGGACTAAAATATGACTCAAACAGAGTATAAGTCCACAGCGAAATGTATTTAACAGCTAAAAAAGTGGATTTTGCAGAACGTGTACACTTTTAGTTTATTGACATTACAGCACTGAGCAGCAAACATACCCGTGGTTTGAAGTTGACGATTCTGTTGAGCTTGACGATGAGGCAGGGCTTTCCCTCCTTGAAGCCAAAGGTGGAGTCAGATAAACCAGAACAGCTTTGCAGCCATGTTCTTTTGAAACGACAAGCTTTCCTCTGCCCAGTGCTGTCCTCCTCTAAGGTCCCGCGTTCTATGTATGATCGAGGAGTATCTGTGGGGAAAAAAAAACATGCATACAATCACAGAAATTTTTAAAATTTCACACTACAAACACTTAAAGGCTTTTTGAGGGGTGCACCAATAAATTGGCACAGATTTTCTTAATTTTGGGAAATCGGTCGATACTTATTATACATAAGTAATTTTAAGAGTATTGTTCAACATTTTTCAATACAATGTATTGTGAACTCACAACACCTGACAGTGTCAGTTTTTAAAAAAATCTGTCGAATCAGCAGGTCAGACTTTTTAAAGCTCGGTGATCAGCCAGAAAACTGCAATCGGTGCACCCCTACATGGGGCTGCCACAAACGATTATTTTTATAATGATTAATCACCGATTATTTTTTTCGATTAGTCGACTAATCGGATCATA